CATACGTTATCTCACTTCATGACGGATCAGCCGCAAAAATTTTGGCGTTTCTTTGCACGACCTGAAAACCCAACAACTGAAGTAGAAATTGAGGGTATACTATCGTAAAGGACGCGCAGGCTGTTTCCAATGCTTTCAATAGGTATCTTCAGTCGGTATTTACACGCGCATGCGCACCAAGCAGCCCTGTTGCTCCAGTGCATCCTTTTTTAATGTCCGATGTCGTTGTCACTACGGAAGGTATTCTGAACCTGCTGTTGCAGATCGATGTTAAGAAATCAGTGGGTCCTGACAATATTTCAAATGTATTCCTTCGACGCTACGCAGAGCAACTATGTCCCTTCCTTGAAGCAATTTTTAAAGCATCCCTGCTAACAGCTTCTTTACCTGCAGACTGGTTGTGTGCAAAGGTAATTCCAATTCATAAAGGCAGGAGCAAGCTGTCCATAGAAACATTCAGGCCCATCTCGCTAACTAGCTGCTGCTGTAAATTATTGGAACATGTAATCAACAAGGCAATAATTACTTATTTAGGAGATAACAACTTATTGCACCCAAACCAACACGGATTCCGTAAAAACCTGTCTACCGTTACTCAACTCTTGGAAATAACGCATGACTTCGTAACCACTATTAACTCACAATTGCAAACCGACTCCATATTTATAGACTTCGCCAAAGCTTTTGATAAGGTGCGTCACAGTAAAATTGTTGACAAACTTGTGTCTATTGGTATTAACAGTAACATAATAGCATGGATAAAAATGTATCTATCAAATCGAAGCCAGTATGTAACCGTAAACAACACAGCCTCTGATTCATTGGAAGTTTTTCCGGAGTACCACAAGGTTCCGTTTTAGGACCCATCTTGTTCCTAATATATGTTAATGATATCTATATGTGCCTTGAGCCTAACGTTAAAATGAGATTATTCGCTGACGCCTGCGTGATCTACACCACTATCCGCACAACTGATGACCAGCTTAGACTTAATAACACACTAGCTAATATTGCATGTTGGTGCCTTGAGTGGGGAATGGAAATTAACGTGTCAAAAACAGCTTGCCTTAGCATAACTCGCAGCAAAACAATCCGGCATTTTAGTTACAACTTGGTCGGCACAAACATTGCAAGAAACGACGCTGTTAAATACTTGGGCGTTACCTTTACAAGTAAACTGAAGTGGGATGCACATATAAGCAGCACATACACAAAAGCCCATCGCCAGCTAGGGTTCCTGCGTCGAAAACTTTCATTGGCGCCTTCTAATGTAAAACTGACAGCATATAAATCTCTCATAAGGCCAATCCTCGAGTACGCCAGCATTGTTTGGAACCCCCACCAAAAATATCTTTCCAACAAATTAGAAATCGTCCAACGCAAGGCCCTTAGCTTTATCTATTCTAAGTATTCGAGGCATGACAGTGTCACTGAGCTGCGCAGGCGGGCATGCTTGCCGACCCTTGCAGCCCGTCGCCGTGTCTCTTCCTTAAAGTTTATTTTTCTTTTGTATCACAACGGTTTAAACATAAAGACAACTATATCAAGCCACCTAACCATCACTCCCTTCGTACCAACCACAATAAGTGCATCAGACCATTCATGTCACGCTGTGACACTTTTAAATATTCATTCTTCCCGTCAGCAGTGGAAGAGTGGAAAAATTGCCACGTGAATGCGTTAATCTTTCCTCTGCAGATTCGTTTGTTCGGAATGTAGAAAGCCTGTTTTATGAAGACTAAAAGCAACTTTTGTTTTTTGATGTTTGTGAGCGCTTCCGAACACACTGATGACTGTACCCCCTGCTGATAGATACCTCGATGTTTTGTGACCTGTCCATGATTTTGTACAATTGCTTTCATCGTTCAAGTTTTATTTCCACCATCATCTTGTGATTCTGTTTCTTCCGCTATGTGCAATATTGCCTGGTTTGTACGCGACTGTGTATATTTGCTCGCTCACCCTGTATGAGCCTGAGAAAGGCTTGCAGTATTAAAAATAAATAAATAAATAAATAAATAAATCGAACCCCTCTATAAAACAAGGTCATGTAATTGTAAAATCGCTCTGCTATTGCATCTGCGCTCTGCATGTAACTGATAATAATAGAATGATTTCAACATGCACATTATGGTGAGGAGTGTTGACAACACCTGCCGTTAAATCGGGGTATATATTTTCAACGCACTAAGCTGTTTAATATTGGAATAGTGCCGTTGCCGTCTGAGGAGGTGTGCGCCACGGGAAGCGAGTATGCGCGAAACCTGCTCCCAGAACAACATAAGCTTGCATAGTACAGCATAGAAAAGTATTGGGAAATGGAAGTGAGGGAGAGTGATGTTATGGGGAAGAGGTAGAAAAGAAGGAAGGAGGAGGGAAAGGCATGACATAGCTTTGCGTTGTATAGTTCTACAAGGGTATGAGAAAGGGAAGAAGAGGTCAGATGTAAGGCGAGGAGGATGTAAAGAGCAGGTGAGAGGGTAAGCCATAGCATAGCCATGAACAGCACAATGTACAGGAAGGAGTGCGAAAAAAATGAAGGTCGGGAGGATGAATGTGAGGGCTAGGAAGGAAGAAAATAGGAGGAAAAGAATGGCAAGGAGGTTAACCAGTCTATAGGCAGCCGGTTTGCTACCCTGTGCATAGGAGGGGGATGAGGAGATGAAAGATAGAGATGAAAGAAGGGGTGAGAAAGGAGGAGAGAGGACAATATTGATTGAGATAACGAAAGGAATGGTGAAGAAGAAAAAGACGTAGGAAGAAAAGAAAGAAAGAAAGATGACAAAGGAGAAGTATATGATAAAAAAATATGAGGAAATAACTCAAATCTGTGTTCGCAAGAGAGAACTATATATCTGATCTGGAAAGGCAGGGAGGTTAACTGGAAAGGCAAGTATCTGGTTTGCTACCCTGCAGTGGGGAAGGGGTAAGGAAACACAGAGAAATAAGAAAGGTGGTATCACTCGCCCACCAGTTCCGATGTTTACTCAGATTTCACAGGCGCTTGGCTAGACTTTATATCTTTTTTTTTTTCGTCAACACTTTTGCAATCAATGTGCCTTCTCACATGATCTATCCTAGTCTCGCCTGTATTCCTCAGTTTATTCCCGATAATCCTAGTAAGATCAGCAGCAAATCACCTTGTCCACCCGATGTTTGGACACGTCTGATACGCTTAGTTTTTTCGCGAGCCAAGAGCAAAAGCACCACACGTTGTGACAGTTTCCGCACCCACCAACGGAAGAACGGATATCGGGGCATAGTCCCTACGCGTCAGTGCGTAGTTTGCCGGGATAGGGCGCGGCTAGCAACGAAGATGGTGGGGGGGTGGAATGGGGGTGATTTCGCCGTAGAGGCGCCGAGGGTGGGCTACTGGGAGCGTGGCAGCGGCTGTCACTGACGTCGAAACAGATGGCGCTCTGTACCGACATGCGCTCGCTATCTCTCCACCTACTAGCGCCGGCGAAGCGCCAGCGAGGAGCCCGCCTATGTGTACGGCTGCTGCCGGCAGCAGCGACGGGCCGGCCGGTCGGGCGGACCGAGTGACTGCCAGCGTTGCACTGCCTTGCGCGTTGTTCCCCCGGACGACGCCGGCTAGTCACCGAAGGAGCTGTCGTATCCTCCTCCGCGTCTAATGAGGGGGCCGGACCGCGGGAGAAACCGCATGAAAGATGGCCGCCCGCCAGACGCCGTGCCGAGCGAGGCCCGTTCCGTCCCGTTCCATGCTCTGCACGCGCCCACCACTATGATCTTGCGGCCTCGTTATTTTGCTTGCGGGGATACACTGCTGTATCCCCGTTCCCTCCATTTAGCGAACGACGACGCCAAATGCGCCGTTAACTCGAGGTCCCGTTCGCCCGCTATTCGACAGAAGCAGCACGCCTCCGCCGATGTGGTTCCGCAGCTATAAGTTTCCTACAGGAAAAGCTGCACTGACCTTAATGGTGAAGAAATGCAAAAAAAAAAAAAGCGACGCAAGAAAATATTTAATGCAGAGAAAACGAGCGTTGCGTGTAGTTCGAAGAACGCCGCGGGGTATGCACCGCCTTTCTGTTGACGTATTCAGTGGCGGCTGTTATCGAGAGTATAAACATTAGTTTGAACTAATTACTTTCTCGCGTCAAATTTTTCGCGCGATTCTTAACAAATCATAAAATAATACGGACTCTCCTCGCGTTTAGTTTAGATAATCTTATACTTTTTGCATGTGTGTTAGACAGGACACGTTGCGATATAAACATACCTATAACGATGAAAAGTGCGCAGTACCCTGCGTAGTTGTTTCGAAATCTTCATGCATAACGTGGTATCTTTGTATGCTCAGTCTCCTGACAGTCAACAAATTCTAACTCTGCATTCTTACGTAGAAAACCACTTTACACCCTCCCGATCTGTTCCGCGGTAACAATGGTTGTGTATGCCAGCTCCCCAGTGACGCAGTGAAGTCCTCACGCGTTCACTAATGAATGCACTTCTAGGAAAACAAACGTACGTGAACGAAGGTCTATTTTAATCTGACATTTACAATAAGGTCTTGCATTTGTAGCTTGCAATGTTCACTGAGGTATCGGGGCCACATTTACCTATAGAACAGTACACCTTACATGTACTTGACTATAAGCCCATTAATGAATCAACCTCCTCCCAGCCTTTGTCTCAATTTATTCTCTTTCTTCCTCCATTGAATCAACCCGTGTTCCGAACCTAGTATACTGTGCGGTATGGTGCAAGCCTTCCTTCCCTTCTGTCTATGTATGACCGGTCTGCATATATGCAGACTTTAGCTTAGTTTAGCCAACTCACTTTTGCATTTTCTGAGCCTTATGTTTTTCTTGTCTCGAAGTATTGAAGAAAATGGTAGCGTTTATATGCAAAAAAAAAAGCATAAGCTTTAGAGGGTTACAAAATAGCTTAGCTTCTATCGGCTAAAATACACATATGTTAGAGTTCCGATTGCAGCTTGCACCGACAGGTATGGAGGCACTTATGAAAGAACTCACTCGTTTGTGAGGGAAGCGGAATCACAATCCAATGGAAACCTTACGCGAGGAATCCACTACAGCCGCAACCTGGCAAGAAACAAAAGTCTATCAATGTATACATCTTATTGTGCGTAAGCAATCATGCGGTCTAACGTTATACGTTCCCATGACTCACTCGAAACTTCAAAGCTGCAGTTACAAATTCACCCTCAATCCTATAGCTCGACCACGGCATGAACACATCTCTACGAGCACAAACGCACAGAGCACAAACGCACAAACGCACTTTCAATTTCTCGATTGGAATTCATCTCGAACCAGCATTTCATTAACGCGAAGCTTCTTTGCCTCAAAATCATTAATTGATTAGTTCAGCTAATGACAGGCATTCGAGCTAACTGTAAGGTATTTACCACTAAAAAAAAGGTTGGGTGTGTGGAAACCTACAGACGTGAAGTGCTGCCGGTTTCGCTTCATCATTTCCATGTCTTCATTACTAACTTTTTGAGGTTGTGATTCATTCATTAGTTATTTATTCAGTGTTAATTTTCCACTTTTCATTTCATTCTCCTCCCACTTAAGGAATTGGGGGGGGTGGGGGAGCAAACTCACGAGTTCACCACGATTGTTACACGAATGTGTTTGTAACTGCGCTGCTTGCGCTCTTCAGTGTTAGCGAGAAGCAGAGGTTTTCGTACGGGCTGTTCGAGTTATAATGACACACTCGAACCTCTAGCCCCTGCCATCCTCACGCTTTTTTTTTTTCACACGCACGCGTACTACGTCCGAATCTTTCTCGCTCACTCTCTCGCACACAGATAAATCGGCTCCACCCCGCTACAGCGTTCACACACCATCGAATCCACTCGCTGGCCAGATGTATTCACCGCAGATGTCCGCATATGAATGCGTGGCACGACGTCTCCTCGCGAAACGAATCGCGTTTTTATTATTATTATTTTTACGCACGACCGTATAGGCGCATAGCTTTCCGGCCGAAGACGCCGCCTAGCGGCCGTTCCAGCGCATACTCATCCCTGTCACACACCCTTCATAGATTGTTTCCTTTTGTGTGTTCCTGTTCTCTATAGCTTACTGCCACACCATGAACACCCGGATGCGTGTGCCCTCGTCCGTGTGACTGTATCGGGAGCGGACCATAATTATTTTAACGACTGCCCCCGGCATGATTAGAATACCATTACCGCAGGATCACCTTTCGATGGAGACAAGAGAGAGTGTGACAGCTTTTGTTTCTGATGCTATGTTTCCTTTGTTTTTACTATTACTATTTTTTTTGAGTATCGCGCAAGGGCGGCATTGTACGCAGTTTAGCCGGCTTGAACCACGCACGCGGTGCCGAGAAACAACAAAGGTAAGAAACCAATTCGCGAACACTCACAAAGATGTGAGTGACTCCTATCTTTTCCCTAATTAAGGGAACGTCAGGGGAGAGGGAAGGGGACAACCGCAATTTGCATCCAATGAACCTCCGTGGCTAAATATAAAGGCCCGGTGAGAGTTGCCTGCTTTCCCCCCTTCATTTGTCTAGTATAAAGGCATTGGCAGGAAGCTGCTGTGGTTTGCAGCGGTAATTCTTTGGTGCACACGCGAAGCATGCGGACGAACCACGCTTATCGTTTGTTTTCAGCTCTGTGACTTATATATACATTTCTATTCATTTTATTCTTGCGTCCACAGCTATTGTTTTAGAGTTCTCGCACTCTGAGCTTAGGGGTGAAGGCATGCACACTCTTAATCAGGTCGCAGCACCTAATGCGCTGGATATAGGCAGGAAACCGCGCATTTTTCGTCTGGGTTCCTGGATATAGCTAGCATTTAACTAGGACCTGACCAAGAGTGCACTTGTTGCTCAAGCTTCAGTTCCGTTCATTTTCTTCCATCTCACTTTTTCTGGAGTGTGTTAAGAGTGCAGTCTAGAGGCGCCCGTTTCTGCGTTCAGTGGCATCACCGTCACCGTAGCTGATGAAGTGAACGAAGACGAAAGGGAGAGAACGCAGAGTTTGTCGATATCACGAGGTACTTGCCTCTAACCTCGCTTTAGTATACTCCGTCACTCGCGCTGGCCCCTCGGTCGACGGTTGTGCGCCTGCAGAGCTGGCACATGCACTGTGCAGAAGTGTGACCGAGGGGTGGCACAACAGGCTTGTGCACCCCCGATATATACTTTTTTTGCCATGGCATAAGATAGCGGGTAATGGCCATTGCAAGGGGGTGTCCCCCTGAAATAAAAAAGGTAGTACCCCCCCACCCCTCCCTCCATCCTAAATAATTTCTGGCTGCGCCCCTGGCACTGTGGCTGGCTTCGCTTGTCCTAACTACCGGCGTTTAGCTCCATTCGCGACACGTATACAAAGCACAGAGGGGGCGGGGGAGGGGGGGGTGTAGAACTTGAGCGCCGTCACCGTTCCGCTTAGTTCGCGAGGCAATGCAAAGATGGTAAGCTCGGCACTCAATGGCTGGCAATTTCTGTGACAATATGTAACGAATGTAATGCCCAATTGTAGCAGACAACTGCTGAACGTTTGCTGACTGTTGTTTCGTCACAAATGAGCTTCAAGCCACGCGCAGCCAAGCGGAATGTAAAGTGTGAAGACTAGGCAAATCCACGTACTACCCATAATTTCTTATGTTCGCTGAAGTATACCATGCATTGCAGCTCCCATAGACACTAGCGCCAGAGCGTATACATAGGAAACTCTATGAAGACCACGTCCTCATGTGACGGTACGTACGTCACTGTGAAGTAATCATGGCATCCTTTTGATGTCCCAAATTTCGGTGATTGTAATGTTATCATGACATCATCAAGCGAGCATGATTTCTTGATTCACTGGTTTCACGACGAATTTCACGTATGATTAGGCATCTAATGGTTTCTCCTTAATAAGGCTTGGCGCCTTGTTGGTCTTGTTGTACGAGGTAGGTCCTGACGGCTCATCTTCACCCCGTCACAACACCCTCGTGGCGTGTTCTCGTGTCTTCTGCGTTTGTACGGGAGAACGGTCAGTGCGAGATAGTGAAAACTTTCGCGAAGAGCTTGTATATCTGTAGTGCGATATAGGGAGAGCCGGCTATTCAACGAAGCATACAAAACGCACATATGTTAGGCATAAAAAACGAAGAAATGAAAGCTAGAACGAACCCGGAGTTGTGCCTCCGTCGGTGTCACGGTACTGTGCGCTTTGTGTAACTAGCTCCTTTGTGGTTCGGAGCCACATCTAAATGAGTACCGATGCGCTACTATGGTGCGGACGTGTGCCTATATGTACGGTCGGGTGAAGATCATTCGCAGCAGTCACATTGTCGATTTTGGAGTGGAAGGCAAACTTTCACGTTGAGAGAGGCGCCCAAATAGCCAGGCCTGCACGCAACACGCAGCACAGTCGCTGTGGTAGATGGTGGAGCAACCTTTGTAGAGTCCGTTGTAAAATCTCTCGGGGATACTATATACATGCATCCACATTTCCGATGGAGGCGGAAATGTTGTAGGCCCGTGTGCTCAGATTTGGGTGCACGTTACAGAACCCCCGGTGGTCGAAATTTCCGGAGTCCTCCACTACGGCGTCTCTCATAATCAAATGGTGGTTTTGGGACGTTAAACCCCACATATCAATCAATTATATACATGCATCCGCTATGCCATAAATCATCACATTGCAAAATAAGGACGTACCCACTGTATATGACAATATTCATCTTTCTACGGAGAATTGATGTATACGCATTGTACATCTTCAAAGCACTATTTGAACTTCGTTAATGTTGAACCTGATGACGATGAGTAATTACGGCAGAGCTCTTCGTAAGGGTTGGAAAGCTTTAAATGACTCAGTCATTGCGCAATTTGCATTGCGCGACACCCTCGATTTTTAAAATTTACGATTCTACTACGTTATATATTACAAACCGTAACTTTATCCTTTGCCCGACATGATGTCTGTATAAAAAGGCGGCGAACAACTTCACTGCCGAAATAAGCTGTTGTGAGTTCATCGCAGCTTTCACCGTAAAATAGTGAGTAAGCTGTTTCCAGAAAGAGAACTTTTAGCTTGAACAACACGTTGCTTGATCGCTCAATGGTTCACTTTTGATGACCCCCCCCCCCCCCCCGATCTTTTCAGTGGAATAAAAGCTTTATACAGTTTAGCCGTGATATTTTTCTTACCATAATCTCTTTTAGGTATTCATATTATTATGGGGTCATGACGCTGATGAAGGCAGAGACGGCTTGTTCGAAACGAAACTGTTCATCTGGCCGAACTTGTGGCTGGTGAACGGAAAGTCAGATTACAGCGACATACGACGACACTCACAGCGGTGAACTGAGCGTCGACTGACGATCAACTGACAAGCGGCGAAGCACGTCCGCATTTTTACACGTGCTGTCGAATATTCCAGCGTTATCGCTAGCGGCCTCTTAAGTTAATTCTAGAATAATATGTAATGTTCGCATTGCGTGAGTAATCTTACCAGAAGGATCTATTATAGCCTCAAAGCTTCTCTAACACTGCAGGCGTGGTTCGCGCTGAACGTTGCTTACAGTGTAACGGAGCGATAACAAAACTTAAGGAAAGAATGCGGTGTCAAGCACACACAGGGTCTCTTGTGCTTTGACTTGAGACGCCTCGAAGGTTAAAACTATCTTATTTTTTTCTTCTCAGTCGATGTACCGATCTTGCCCCACCAACCTTCGAAAATTCTCTGCTCCTAACAAGATATTGTACTGCCTCAGAGATTAGGAAGCACCTCACCTGGTTTTGCATGGCCTCCGTCGATCTGACCACCTTGGACTAAATACGATGTCATGTGATCACGTCATCATGTGACGTTACGTCACGTGGCATAATGCTAACGTCATAGAGACATCTCAATTCTGTGGCGTTATATTTGTGACGTACTCTGTCACGTAATTTGGTGTCGTTCCGTGATGATTTTTTTTTTTTTTACGGCAAGGGTTCCCGACGCCGACGGTTATCGCGTTAAAAGGCCTTTTTTCGCTTTGAAAATTGCAATTGAAGATCTTACATCAATTCAGACGCGTTCAACTATTGCCCAATGTTAAGAGCGA